TGAGCCCCAACCAAATAAGAACCACTGAAGGAAACGACACAAAACCTCTGAAGACACTGACAGCAACTTCCTTCTTCACCAGATGGAAACAAGATGGAAACGTCAGATTTCAGCGGTTGGAGGATTTCTCTTTAGTCTCTTTAGGCTAAAGACCAGGAGCCATTTCTGCTGCTAGCGCTAGGCTAACACGTTAGCTTTGGTTGTTTGTATTAATTCACATTGCAGGTTTGGCCCCAGTAGAGGAAACAGAAACCAGCCGAAAATAATTATATTAGTAAAAATGAGGTGACGATTCTTCCCAGAGTATCTAATAATTCCTAATATTTCATTCAGGATCAAAAACGGTTGTTTCGTTTTGTCCAGTAAATCCCTTCAACTATGGATTCATGACAACAGCCTGTTTTTTCTCTTGAAGCAAAGAAACACAATGAAAAATATTTTCTTCTCCATTAAAGTGATTTGATAAAAAGCAGCTTAGAGAGGAATGAACAAAGGAAAACAATCTGTCTTCACAGAGCAACAGTTTGTCAGGGGAATGTAAATGTGTGAACAAAAGGAGACATTCATATGCAAAACCTCCTCAGAACGATGCTCAACGCGCCGCAAAGTTCAGCGAGAAAAGCTGCAGCAGAAAAAGCTGCAGCAGAAAAAGCTACAGCAGAAAAAGCAGCAGAAACGTCTTTAAATGTCACAGACGATGGAGCGAAGTGAGGAAATCCCCGCCAACGCAGGGCGATGTTTTCTCCATTTCCAGCTGGCTTTTTGGACTCCTTCGCCTGAGCTCACCATGGCCATGACTCGGTACAAAACAAATTAAAAAGTACCTGTTGCCATGACAACAGGGGGGTTGCTCCGAGGGGTAGAACCCCTCAAACAGGCACAAGGGGAGAGAAACGTTTTCATCAACAGAAAGACGTCAGCAGAGCTGAGAGGAGCAGAAAAACTCTGCAGCGATAGTCGCCTCTAACTGGATCCACAACCGGCTGCAGAACCAGCAGACAGAAACAGCTGCAACGCTAAAGATACAACGCTAACGATGCAGCAATACTAGCGATGCAATGCTAATGATGCAGCAACGCTAACAATGCAGCAACGCTAACGATGCAATGCTAACGATGCAACGCTAACAATGCAGCAACGCTAATGATGCAACGCTAACGATGCACCACTAAAGATGCAATGCTAACGATGCAGCAATGCTAACGATGCAACGCTAACAATGCAGCAACACTAACGATGCAATGCTAACGATGCAACGCTAACAATGCAGCAACGCTAATGACGCAGCAATGCTAACGATGCAATGCTAATGATGCAGCAATGTTAGCATTGCTGCATGCTAACGATGCAGCAATGCTAACGATGCAACGCTATCAAAACAGTGCGTTTCAGGTTGCTACAGAACAACAGTCCATCCGACTCCAAGATTAAAACATGAAGTGTTTCCCTGCTCATCGTTTCACTTACAGAATTAATAATTAATTCTTTCAGTTGATAAAAATTCAAAAGATGACAAAGATTAATTTCACACATTTTCAAAAGAAATTTGCTGATTTCAAAAAGTTGTAAATTTGCAATAAAAATGAATTACAATTTCCATTAAAAGTAATAAATTTAGCAGATTAAAACAAAGAAATTCTTTAATATTACAAATGAAGAAATTGTAAGAAAAAAATTCAAATTTACTGAGATTTTAAAGTCTGACATTTGCAACAAAAAGTATCACACCTCCTCAGACTGAGATGGTGAATTTATGCGATTCATCTGGATATTTTCCAAACTGCAGTTCCATTTTCTTCTTAATTGGACTGGAGAAAAGTCATAAATAAAGGTATTTCTGAGGAAAATAGATGCATTTATGAGAAACCTGCCCATATTTATCTACACAGAGTTCAGCAAGAAAATACCACCTGCTGAAAGCTGGAGGTTTTATTTCTGTGAAGAAAACTGTTCAGATTGTGTTTAAAATCACTTTTTAAAAGACAAACTTTAGATTATTTAGTAAAGATGAACACAAACTCTGTTGGAAAGCTTCTCTTGTTTTCTTATATAACAGCCACTGTATTTTTGAATAAACTATGTAATAATTTTATAATTTGATGATGCTTCAGTTGAAGGGAGGAGTTAACAAACCAACTTTTGCAATCAAAGGACCTGAAGTTCTCCAATATCAGGATTTTTACAACAATGTCTTAAGTATGAAAAACTTAAACTTAATGCAAAAAAAGTGCAATTTGCTCCCACCTGCTGGACGTTATGGGTATTACTACTCCTGCAGGTATTTAGTGAAATTTGCTTCGTGAATCCAGCGCAGAAATAAAAGTTTCAATCAAATAATTCTGAACCGCTTTGAACATTAAATGTTTTCCAATTTATTGGATATTACATGTTTTTGCCTCTCCTGCCACATGAAGTATGTCTGACCTGAGAGTCGGGAGGTTTTCACATTCAGTTAGAAAATAAAAACTCCTTCAAATGCAGTTTACCACAAACTCTTCCACTCTGATTGCTGCAGCCAGGAGCCAATCAGCAGCGAGCTCCCGCTCTGACCTCACAGCTGCAGCCGTCCTGACATCGTCGCCTAAACGTTCCTTCACTCAACGCCAGACTTCGCTTCAGCATCGTGTTGACAGCCAATTAACTGCAGAGCCAGAGTTCCTCACGCTGACCAACAGGATGAAAGTGGCGAGGTCACATGACCTCCACCGGCTCCCCTCCTGTCACTCACACGGTTTCATAACGACGCCTCATGCAGAGGCTCAGAAAGAGGTGAAAAAAGTCATTTTGGAAGAAAATTGGCTCTGCTGATGATGAACGACTGACTCATTTCCAGCTGTAACTTTGTATGTGCCAGTAATGCAGATCAAAACTCTGTAAATGCTGAGACAAACTCTGACATTTTAACATCAGAGACTGAGTGAGACGGATCGTAATGAGGCAGGAGCTGAATTAAAGCCTGTCCAGTCAGAAACCCGTCCTGATGGAGGGACGGTGGGAAATCACTTTAATCAGACAAATCCTCCAGTTTTACTCTGCAGCAAGATGAAAATAGGCAGAAATAATCTCACTAGTTGTTCAGTAATCCACTTTCAGGGACATATTCTGTTTTATTTTTAATATTTAGTGCAGTTTTGGTTCAGCGTCGTCGCTCATTTTGTTCCTAAAAGGAATCAAAGCAGATGAGATGAAAATCCTGAGGAACTGAAGACCAAATATAAGACAACCTGCTGAAAACCCCCTGAACCATTTTACATTTAAAACATCAAAATGACGCATGGAAGATTAATAAGCTGATATTAGTCTGTTCACCTCTAATCCAGTGAAACCAGTGAGGTCAGAGGTCACCAGACCAGTTTGTTGTTCAGATTCAGAAAACTCTTGTAATTCATCTCAGTTCAGAAATTTGCAGCACAATTATTTTTTAATACTGAATTTCATTCTTTAGATGAACTAAAACAAAGTAACATTTATTCATGCGCTACGAATGTTCAGAATGAATCAGCGTTTAAAGGGAAGCGGAAATCAGAACTTTTCTCAGCGAAATGACCAAACTATGAAACAGGAGAAGGTGTTGAAGCCCGTCACACAGCAGGAAGTGAAGCGTTGTCCAGTGAGTCACAGCGCCGCCCGGCCCACGTGACTCACTCGGCCTTCGCTGCATCCACCTGTTTGCTCAGAGCGTAGGCGGGTCGGCGGTAATAAGAGGAGCGATAAAGAGCCGAACACCTGGCTGTACGAGACTGTAGCCGGTTCAGTAGGAGTGGGTGACATGGTGACAGCTCCAAATGCACCTGCATCACTTTCTGCTCTATTTCTGGCTCCTGTGGGAGAGAAACACGAATGTTTCTGCAAAACCGACGCTGGAAGCTCCTAGAAACAATTCCTGCTAGAAAACAGTGACTGCATGATGCACCTGTAGCTTCTCTTCCACAGAGAAAAATGTTTCGCTCATTTTCAGAAAAGCTCATCTCTTCTAAAAAACAACAGTAAAAAATGTGAATCATTTTCAGAAGTGCTTTAGTAAATCCTTGCATCAGAAGTGTCCAGCATAGCAGTGATCAGCAGCAGGCTGACGGATGCTCCTCCCTGTTTAGAGGTGAAACAGTCTTACCTTCATGAGAACAGACTCGCTGAGCTTTTCTCTGTTGACGATCTTTATGGCGACCTTTTGACCTGTGACACAGTGGAGACCCAGCTTCACCAGACCTGAAACACAGACATCAAACAACATTCACATCCATCCTGGTTCAAGCAGAACAGCAAAAACTTTTTAAAAATGATAAAGTCATCACATTTTAGGACAGAGCAGCGATAACAAACCAACCAGACGCTCTGACCACCTGGCAGCCACCAGACCAACAATCCAACCAACCAACCGCCAACGAGATCCTCATCCATCCAACCGGCCTCAAAACAGCCAAAACCCACCCAGCACTATTAATGTGGGTTTATCAGAGAAGCTGTTTGGTCCAGTCCTCCACCATCAGCCTGGCATCACCTGCTGATGTGAACACAGGAGGAGACCAACATGGAGCTTCATGGATCCTTCGATGATCAGAAGCTGCAACCTCTTAACTATTCTCCTTTGTCCTCACAAAAAACTGAAAAACTTTGTGAAACACGTCAACACGCTCAGCCTCCACTGTCAGTGAAAAACCTGCATTCAAATAAAATCTGCATTACGAAAAAACTCTAAGACATACAGAGTGGATTATTTTACACAATACCATAAGACACAAATATGAGACAAGTACATTCAGGACAAACCCTGAGATGTTTGTGATCAGAATAAATGAGTTGAGCTGCTGGAGCCTCCTGACAGATGAAGCTGTAATAAATCTGGGTCCTTTAGCTCCCAGATCTCCTTTCTGTTGTGCAGCTCTGAGAGTTCACCTGATGGAACTGCTGCAGCGAAACGCAAATGTCAACAAGCAATACCTTTATCTTAACGCGGCCACAATGGCTCCATCCATCTCCATCAAAGCCCTGACACCAGAGACTGTGTGTCTCACTTTGTACTGAAGGTCTGCAGGCGGCGGAGGAAATGCCACGGCGCATATGCACCTCTTCATTACCGCGCATGTTTCACAGGACGTCAGCCTGAAAGGTGCTTTCCGCTGGGAAATGAGCAAAGCTGAGAACAATGGGGGCGTCGTGACCAGCACGGCGCCTGGGGGCGCTTTCATGTCGGCAGGTAGACCTGAAACGGTCAGGTCTCATCGATCTGGTGGAGAGGAAGAGCCAGCATGGCTTCATCTGAGTCCCATCAGTCAGGAGCCTGACAGGCTCCCTGTAGGAACCCAGACAACAATGAGGAGGAGGAGAAGTGAAGGAAAACACCTGGTTTGGTTCAGGACTGCAGCGGGACGGACTGAAACAACAAGACCGCGGGTCTGAGGGATGAGTTTCCTCTGTAACCATAATCCAAAGGTTTATTAAAGTTTACTGATATTATTCCAGCTACAGAGTTTCTGATTTCACAGCTTCTTTTTTCAGTTGGTAAAGATCAATCTGGCCCTTCAGGGTCGACCGTCTGAATAGAAGCTCCTGGTAAGAAAACACTTTATTCTTCCTTCTACTGACAAACTCCAAAAAGCTGAAATACGACAGAGTTATTGCTACAGTTTGGCAAAGATTTCATGATCAGCCTGTTTTCACCCAAAACTATAACAGAATTTAAACAAAAGCAGACAAAAAGAAGTTTGGATCATTTTACCAACTTATATCAAACAGAAGATTTTGTATCTTTTCCTCCTCATGTTTTTCATAAACTCACGAATCTCCCATCAAAATATTCAGAATGATTTCTGTATTACATCATATCTGTCATGGATAAATTACTGTTTCAGCCTGAAAAACAACAAATTCAAATAAGTTATTTATAATTTAGAGCCTTTTTTAAATTATTTTATTGTAAAGGTCAAATCGCTCAGAAGTATTTCAGCAGTTTCTGCATTTAAAAACAACTATAATAATTTATTCATCCCAATAATCAGTAAATGACAGGAGTTTTGTTATTTAAGGTTCTAAAGTTAAAGGAGCGAATTAAAACAGATGTAATATTTAGGAGACATAAACCCAGACCGGGTTTAGTAACATGGGTCCACTGAGAGCCGTACGCTTGACTGATTCCACTAAAAACCCATTTATGATCTGATGATTACCTGCAGAGCTCTTCCGTCTCCTGTGATTACTCCCCTGACACGTAAATGTGTGTTTTGTCTCAGAAGACGAGCGACGCAGCTTTGATCTCGTGCAAAATGAGAAGCATAAAAATCAGTTTGGATCTGACATTTTTCAGCGTGCCTCCCAGTTATTGCAAACACAAAGCTCCAAACTGGGCCCCAAAGTGATAATCTCTGACATTTTCACATGGTGAAACATCCACTTAGCTTCTCCCTGCCTCGTTATGCAGCTCTGACATTTGCCGTTTGGACCAACTTTTCAGTTGTCTGGTGATTCCTGCACCTGATAGACAAAGAGCAAAACATGCAGGAGAAGAAAACAGCTGGCAGTTAGACCTGGTGTCAAAATGTCTAGTAAGCAATTCAATAGTACAAGCAGTGGTTGGCACACTTCTGCTAATGCACTAAGAGGAGATCATGTTTCTGCTCTTTTATTTAGTGAACTTAACTTCCCCTAAATTAATTTCTCTGGATAATTCTGAAAGCATTAATGTACTTGGCTGTTTTAAAAACGTTCAGTTAAATAAAGTTGCTTATTGACAGCTAAGAAATCTTCAAATACTTAGACATTTCCGTTAATGCTTTCTGTTTTTTATTTTAGAAAGAAACTTACAGGAGCAAAATGAAACAAAGACAGTGAAGAACAAGATTAAATCAAATCAAATTTAATTTAATTTAAATCTGCTCGAGGATTGCAGTCGTTCAATGAAAGATGTCATTTGAATTGAAGTTAGCACGTTAGCATTAGCCTCCGCTAAATGCTGTGCTGCAATATTGTTAGCACTAGTGAAACTATGACTAGTGCAACTGGCCTTCTGACATCATTTGTATATCCTCCTCAAATCTTATCAGAATTAAACTGAAACTGAAATGTGAACGTCTCCCAGGTGCAAAGCTGTAGCCACAGGTTAGCGACTCGCTGCTATTCAAAACAATCAGAGAAAAACATTTTCAACTGCCAGTCTAGTTCAGCCCCAGATCTGGGAAATAAACCCCTGAACGCTCAGCTCAGACTCCACAGACCTCAGCTTCCAGAAAACACCTGGACCAGCCGTCAGGCACGGCGGAGGAGGGCTGGTGATTCGGGCTCATTTTACAGCAGAACCGACTTAACTTCCACTTACTGAGTCAAACCTGAACTCCTCTGTTAAACCAAGTCCAGTTTATTACAAAGACCAACAGAAACATGTTTATTTGTATTTAAGTACTTCAAACCGCAGTTTCTAAGTAACTAACTCTTAATGTGACGTTATAAGAAAACAGCAATAAGGTTAGCCGAGTAAATAAGACCAAACTAACCAGATTAGAGGAGTAAATAGGTTCAGATGTATTACACAGCTCAATATTAAATATCAGAGCCACAGGAAGATAAAATCCATGCATGACTGCAGCTGAAGTCACACTGGCTTTTATTGATTTCTCTCCCCTAAATCAGATCAGTCCTCTCCGCTAATCAGATCGATATCACCCGACCTCTGACCTCTGCCGGCTGAACTCGTTTCTCATCCATTCCCAGGTGTTTCCTCTCTGCTCTGAGCCCCAGAGATAAAAAATGACCCGTAAAGAGTCCATTTATCTCCTTTAATGAAAACACTGGACTAACAGAAACACTGCGGACGTAAAACAACATGATTCACCTGAACGCCCCACAGGACGCTGCGTTCAATGACACGGCTTTCTGATGAACACAAAACAATTTTAATTTAAATCCTCTGGAGCTCAGCTTTTACTGACAAATTAAGGTTTTCTGGATATTAAAAACTCCTTATCATAACAGCTGGTTGGTTAAAATATGTGGCAGCAAATTCTGGAAAAATTAAATAAAATCAGTTTCTTACCAACGAAACGACACGAAATGTAAAAGCTTCTATTTTGATGCTTACAAAAAATGACACTTTTTAATAAACTAATCCTTCAGATTCTCATTTGTGTTTTATAAGTTTGTGCGTTTTGGACTTAAAGAAAATCTGCCAGCGCTCAGACATGGCGTTCCCCAGGGCCGTGTTTTCAGTCCATCTTAATTCAGTTTCCACCCGACTGGAACCGAGACCAGAAGGGTCGGACGTGTTCACTCATTCATAGCACCGAGTCTTTAAAGGGCTTTAGTGACAAATATTTAGCAAGAGATTCTTTGAGCTGTTAAAAAGATAAATATAGTTCTTTAGAAGAAGTTCTGTAAAATTAAAGTGTAACGCTGGAGCCGTAAATGTTGCAGCGTTTTGTCCGTCTGCAGCGATTAGCCTTAGCAGTTTTCCTTGCTGACCTTCAGCCGCAGCAGGAAGTGTCACACCGTTTCCCTCCGAGGTGTGAGACGGCCGCCGCGCGTCGCCCACCGTTAGCTCATCACGAACATGTCGACTGGGAGAAGAGACAAGCGTCTGACCCCCAGGTGAATTGTTGTTGTTCTTCTTCTCTGATAAACATGTAGCTAACCGATCAGCACACCAGCTGCCTGCTTCCCTAGACGTTTGTTCATTTTTGGGTGAGACGTTTAAAGTCTCAAAAATGATTCCCTCTCCTTCCACTGTCTCATGTTCAGGCAGTTGGGATGCGTAACCATGGAAACAAGGTGTTGTTACACCTGGGAGCTGCTGATTAGCGCCTCAAAAGCTCAAATAATACCTGACCTCTGACCCCAAATCCCAGAGGAGCCGAATGAGACACAGAGAAGCAGGAGGTTTAAACCAACTCTTTAATCCATCATGATGGGCAAACATTAACGTCAGCCCGGCTTTCTAACCGTGTGAAGAGGAGCGGCAAAAGCAAAGGGTGATGATTAGCAGTGCTAGCAACAGCTGATGATGTCATCCAGTGAAATATCGTCTCTGCTGCCTGGAGGCTGAGCTGTTAGCATGTCACAGTCATGAGACGGACGTCATACACCAACTGTCTTCAGTCAGAGGCGTCTTCAGTCGTTGCAAGACTGACTGCTACTGGAGATCCTTCCTGACCACAGAACACTTCAAGCTTCTCATCTGGAGAAAATCTTGATGGTGAAACAAGAAATAAATTCCTTGGCGT